TGAGTTGAACAATCGACTACTATACTTTATTTTTTAGAATAAATTATTGTTTTTGTGACTACCAGTAAATGAGTAGTATGAGATGAATTCACCCAATTTCGTCTAAGGTGATGAAGGACTGGTAGAAGAAGAATTTTTCAACAATGATATGAGTTGAGGAGACGTTTCCATTGAATTTCACATAGCCTTGCTTTCCCAAAAGTTGTTATCATCCCGGCTGGAGTGGACTGCAGTTTCGACCTCGCATTGTGGGAAAATTCTTCTTCTACCAGTGTGTGTACAACTTTTGGGAAAGCAAAGCTTTGTGAAATTTAATAGAAACGTCTGCTCAACTCATAAGATTGTAGGAAAATTCTACTACCAGTCCTTTATGACCTTAGACGAAATGGGGTAAATACATCTCATATTCTATATCTGTTTATAAACAACATGTAGGACAGCCGGACAGCCTTGTCAACTTGAGACACAACACAACAATGAGTTTGAAATTGAGTATGATTGAGTGACTATCACTAAGCCTTGAATGCTGGAATTGTACGCTGCCCTACAAAAGTCAGAGTTCGACTCCCGGTGGAGGTGCGGATGCGACCGAGGCGAGGCCAAGTCATAGACTGTTTATTCGAGATCTACACATTGTCCCGAAGTCCTATTTACTTCGAAAGAATGTTCAATCAGTTGTCACGGCAGCTAAAGAAGAAGTTTGTCTAGAGGCTTGTGCCAATTTGAAAAACTCTGTACAAGCAAACTAAGCAGACGGACATGTAAATCTGTTGATCTTCCATTTTCACATTAATTGAAAGTTTACCCAGACTCTTTAGACGTTTGTGATTTGTTTAAGTCTCGGTGTTCTACGAGTTAGTTTGCAAATAAAATGCGGCTTTCGAAGAATGTCCTGAGATATGGTTGTTGTGCAGACTTTCATCTCGTATGGAAGACGGACCATCGAATCTGTTCACGCAACACTTCCACTCGAAAAGGGAGTAAGCTCAACAATTATGAAACAAAAGATTCCTCGAAACCCGACTTTTCTTCGTGACCGACGAATATCTTTTTCATATACTTTCATAGAAAATGCAAGTCGTCACAGCCGCAAAGAAGAAAGTTATCTGCGAGCCACTTTCTCTCTCGACTTCCTCCTCATCCCACACCCCCACTCCCCCCCTCCCCCTGCGGCATTTTGTGAATGTCGTCGGGAGCGTCCAAGCCTCACGAACCCTCCGGACCGTCTGACAATTCTCCGCAAAACTCATCCCGGAAGCCCGTCCGGACCGGTCTGGAGCGTGGCCGGAACGCGTGAGCGCACACAACCGGCCGCGAGAACTGGCCCACCTTCGGCACACACTGCACGGCCATCTGTCCGTCCCACGAGTGCACCAATCGCAATCACACTTCCCAGTTCCATTTGGCCCGTTCCACATGCTCCTCGAGGCCACCGAAACACAGACAAGACACACCTGAGCGACTGGTTGTCTCACCCAGGTCTGTTCAGTCGTGCGTACCTACGCGCACGGTATCTGTATCTTTCTCTCTCTCTCTCTCTCTCCTTACATACACATCTATATATATGTGTGTGTGTGTGTGTGAAAGAGAGAGCGGGAAGGAAAGTGATGGGATAAAAGAGAGCGAAGAGGTTGGGAAGAAAAAAAAGGAGGAAAATGGAGAAAATGACGAAACTCTTCCCAAACGGGGGTTTCAGGACGGGGCAAATGGGTGTATGAACCCGATCGCGTCGGCATAACTACGTTTGTTGCACCACTTGTTTATTCTGACGCCCCGCCTCATCCACTCCGCCCCGGCGTCCACTTCATGCGCCGTCATACGCTGCATGTTTATGTACCAATCGCTCTCGGCCCCCAAGAGGGAGGGGCTGAGGCAATCATTTTTTGCGAGGGAGAAAGGGAGGGAGGGAGGGAGACCAACCCAATCGGATGTCATACCGACAGCTTGGCATCAAAAGATGCGGGTGGCAAAACCACCTTCCACAATCACGCACCGCTCCCTTGAAATCCCACTCATGCTCTGCGCACACCCTCACAAACACACAACGTAAACAAACACATACAAGACCCGTACACCCCCCGACACACGTACACACCTTTGCACAGACACATGCACACACACACACATACACCTCTAAGCGGCATTGCTTCAGACATGGGGCAAAGCGCGCGAATGTGAAGCGATGCCAAGCGGGAAGTTTTGTGAATTTTCGTCTCCGCGGCGAGACTTTACTTGTTCACAAAAGCGTCAGAACCACACTTTGCGCGTATGTCCTCTCGTCATCTGTTTCATTATCTCGGTTTGATGAGGCGCATGTAAACCAGATTCGTCTGATCTCCCAGATTGTGTCCGCGTCATTTACTCGATGGTCCAGTGTGTGTGTGTGTGTGTGTATGTGTATGTATGTGTGCTCATTTGTTTCACAATCCCACTCTTTTCCTGTCCAAAGGGATCAACGCATTAGAGCCGCTGTCTTCACTCGCTTTAGTTACCCTCCTTTTCAATCTTTGTGCGAAAAACAAACAAAACGAGAGTAAATTGGCGCCATTCATCAGCCCTAGCAACAGCCCGGAAGCTGCAGTTGGTGAAGAGTCAGAGGTTGAGCAAGAATAGGTACCAAGAGCCAGGCCAGTGGAGGAGACCAGCAAATAGAGTAGTAGGGTTTGAGGTCGGGCTGACTTAAAATCGCGTTCTCCTTTTCACTCGCTTGAGCAGGACTTCACTTCCTTTCTCAGAGTGAGGCTTTTTAGACACGATGCCAGGTTATTCCGGATTGACTCATCACAAGAACTGGCTCATTCGTTTCTACATCCATGCCACAAAGTCTGCGAACTCGCGAGACGACTTGGCCGAAGATATGTGATTTTTCAACAAGAACACTTTCTACTAGACTACTGGCATGAATTTCAGTAGTGCTCTCTGAAATAGAAAAAAACACTTCTACATGTCGAATGAAAGACATATTCAGACTGATAGATTGTACTTCAATACAATCGCACAGAGTTGCTGACTAAAGATAATTTGCATAACACACGATTACGTGGTCCGAATCTCTCATGTTTTGACGACATTGTCAACATTTCAAATAGGATAAATCCCAACAACCTATTCGGATCAAATTGTGAAAAGAAGTAAAAGGCAAAAAAACTGTGTAGATACGTAGAGAAACTTGGTTTTGATGAATCTCCTGAGATGACATTGTTAGGGGGACCTTCATTTCGAATGAAAGTGCATGAAGAAGAGATTCGTTTTTCGATCTGCAGCCGTTTAGCTTTTATATTATATTCATGTTGACGCAGTCCAC